AAAAAAAAAAAAAAAGGAAAATGAATATAAGCCTGTGTAGAGATCATTCCACAGGGCTCAGTGAAAGGCGGGGAGACACCATAGTGGTATTTATTCCAGAAAGACAGAGCTCAACGATCTAAAGAGCTCAAGATCTAAAAATTTGCTACTTTAAAATGACTTAAAAGCTGAGTTTATTCCTCACCTCTTCTTAGTTCAGGTGGCAGCTGAAGTGTTATGGCTGGAAATACCCAAGGCCAATAGAACAGTTTGAAACTAGAAGACAATCCTACCAAAAAACTAAAGAGGAAAAAAAAATCCAAAATACAAAAAATCTCAAGAAACAAACAAAAAAACCACAGAGAACATGATCCTGAAAATATGAGTATAACGTGTGCTGAAATTCCTGGGTGACCAGCAGCAGGTTTGCAGGTACAGGTTAAGTCTCCAGGCAACAGTAGAAAGCCATAGAGCAGTGTAGAGGTACACTGATGGCTGCACATTCCTGAGATCAAGTTTGCCTACCTCCCAGCGGTCATCCTGCTGGATGCCCCAGACTGTCCCTTGCTATAACTGTTCCAAACCTTCTCATTCTAGTGAACCCTATTTGTTTGTCTGTTTGTTTGTTTTGAGACAGAGTCTCATTTTGTCAGCCTCAGTAGAGTGCCATGGCGTCAAAGCTGACAGCAGCCTCAAACTCTTGGGCTCAAGCGATCCTTTTGCTTTAGCCTTCCGAATAGCGGGGACTACAGGTGCTTACCACAACATATGGCTACTTTTAGAAGCAGGGGTCTTACTCTTGCTCAGGCTGGTCTTGAACCCATGAGCTCAAGCAATTCACCTGCCTTGGCCTCCCAGAGTGCTAGGTGGCATGAGCCATCTGGCCCAGTCTTCTAGTGAACTCTGAATTTTCCTTCACTAACTCAAGATCTTAACCATAAATCTCTTGCAAACTGTTAGGGAAGCTGAAGCCAATACTATGACCCAGAAACTCTGTCCAGCTTATTTTTTCCATTGCTCTTTGTTCAATGTTGGCCCTCTCTGTACATTCCTATGGGCTTGCTAACCAATTTTTAAAAATTAAGTAGGTAATAAAACAGAAAAACAGGAGAATGATTAATATAAAAATTAGGGCCAGGTGAGGCAGCTTCAGTTGTTTTCTCAAGTAGCTGGGACTACCGGCACCTGCCACAGTGTCTGGTTAATTTTTCTATTTTTAGTAGAGACTGGGTCTCACTCTCAAAGAGTGGTCTGGCTGGAACTCCTGAGCTCAGGCATCCACCTGGCCTCAGCCTCCCAGAGTGCTAGGATTATAGGTGTAAGCCACCACTCTAGCCTTCAGTGTGTTTTGCAGTAGCACATTTGGGTATTTGTTTTATTCTCTACTTCTCCCTCTCCCCACCCAATCTTCCATCTGATATACTGAAAGAAGAGGAACAAGACTGAAATACTTTTGTAGCAGGAAACCAATGCGGACAGAAGACTCCAGGCACCAGTTGATTAGAGGAAGCAGGTTTATTCAGCCGGGGGTACTCAGAACACCAGCGTGTTGCCCAAAACCGAGCCCCCCGACTCAATCTCTTGCCTCTCTTTTATCCACCTTTCAGGGTGGGAGTGCACGTGAGGGTCATAAGACAGACATGACATCACCCTCAAGGTCCTGGGCTCAAGGAGGAAGGTCAGATTCGTCCGAGTCCTTGAGACGGGTCAGACCACCTGCCCCAAAGGCAACAGAAACCCAAGGAAGTTACTAGGTTACAATCTAGGCCCCG